ATTTTCTTGCAAGAAAGTAAACAAGGCACTGTGATCTAAATTAGAAGTGTATAAAATCACAGGAGATTTACTTGTACAAAAGGCACAATATTTAATACTGTTGGACATATTCCACTCAAATGTATGCAATACATGGGGTTTGGGTGTGCATCTAACAATAGTTAGAAGCAGTTAAGGCTGCAAGCCTATATCCACTTACCTGAGAGTAAGCCCCATGGAACCTAGCAGAACTTAGCTTTGAGTAAACATGTACTGGATATCACTGGCAGAATCTTCTTCTGTGTTGGTGTTAAGTCTGGGGTATTTGATGCTGTCAGGCTGAATACCGTCTGAGAAATACTCTAAATTCTGTAGGTGAAATTTGCTGATTAGGATGAGTGAATCTGTCTGCTTCATTTTCTAATTTTTCCAACCACCATGCCACATCTCTGCATGAGTTTGATTTTTTTAAAAAAGGCTTTTCAATATTAATCAGGAGTTTTGTAAGCTTTTTTCTTGTTATGTGTATACCAAGAGAAATGTATGCAAAATTTTTGCATGCTATTTCCTGTACTATAATGCAGTTATGTGCCTTACTTTCATTCACATATGCATTTTTTTTTGCACAGCTTCTCCTAAATCACACCTTTTTGTACACATTGATTTGTTTGGAGAACTGTATTGAAAAATTCAGAGAAGTTTTAAGTTTTAAAAGATGACCGTGCTCAGTTTTCATAGTGTTTTGAGAAGTGCAAATTAAGCAGGTTCATATTTAATTACAATTTAAGCAGGTTCATATTTAATTACAAACCAACCCAATTTCCTCTCTCATCCCTTGCTGAATAATCTGGAAAAGGATGTGTTGATGAAATTCTAATCAATGCTCTCAGTGTGATGTAGAAGCCTTTGTGTTACACAAAACTCTTCCATGCTAGAGGTGTGTGTGTGTGTGTGTGTGTGTGTGTGTGTGTGTAACAGATGTAAATTATAAACATTTGTCTTCAGATAGTTTCTGTCTTAAGATGAGATGAAGGAAGTATTTACAAATGTAAAAACAGCAAGGTTAGTACGATGAGAGGTCTCATTGAGTTCAGTGGGACTTATTCCCGATACAGTTGGATCTAAGTGCTACTTAAAACATTGCATTTCTTTGTCTCTATGGTACATTTTAAACTGGCCCTGTTTAAAAATGGGTGATACAATATTGCTGCATCATGGGATATGGTTCCATGATGCAGTGCATCTCAACACACAAGGGTTTTAAGAGGGAAGGTGAAAGATTAAGCCAGTTCTTATGTGCCTCTCAGCTAGGGATCTGTGAATCTGTCAGTTTGGGTTTCTCTTAAATTTTTCATTCTCCCAATGAATGTTCTCCACATTCCTGCATCCCTTTGCAATTTTTTAAAAATAAAAAGTCCTCATGAAAATTTGCCAGCACTTTCGTGTGCGCTTCTCCTAAGATACATATATTTTGCAAACAATTTTGTCTGCCATACACATTTTTGGAAGCAGTTTTCCTTGATATAATGCATTTGTGTGTGCTATTTTCACAAATGCAGGCATTTTTATGCACGCTCTATCTAATATATACACATTTCAGTGCATGTTATTTCGGTTGGAGGACTGCATTGCAAAATTCAGAACTATGTCCACATTTCAGGAGTTAGCTCCTTTTCAATTTGTGCATTGATTCGGGGAGTGCAAATTTAGTAGATTCACGATAAAATGCAACTCAAACTGAAATTCTTCACCAACTTAGCACACACACTAAGCATTCATTTCACACTCTGCCCCCCAAAATATCTGGGGTGAGGGCAAAGGGGCTCCCAGGTTAAACTCTGCCCCCTGAATGTGGAGTTGGGCTGTGGCGAGGTGAATTTCAGAAACACAGCAGCTCTGATGGCCATACCAAAATGTTTTTAAAGCTTATAAGCTCTACCCTTTTCTGAAAGTAAAAAGACGCCCCCCCATGTTAAGTGCTTTAAGCATGGCAGCGCCTAGCTGAGCAAAAAAACCTTCTCTGCATTTGTAGCTGCCTCATTAAAGATTGAGCTGGCTGGTGGAAACATTGACTGGCTTCTCTGTTGTGACGTTGTCAAGAGGAAAAACCTGCCAGCTTGCAGCTTCTTTGCTTTATCCCGGTCTGTTTTATATCCCTGCCCCATGCCTTATCCCTCCTCCCTGTGAAATGAAGGCGCCTCCCCCCCCATTCCACTGCGCCTATCAACACATGCTTCTCCCCCACCCTTTCTCCTGGGACTTGATGCCTCAGCTGGTCCTGCTTAATAGCAGAAAACTGCCTCCCAGTGTGTGTGTGTGTGTGTGTGTGTGTGTGTGTGTTGTGAAAGCAGAGCATCATCTGACCCTCAGAATTTATTCGCGATGCCCCTGTTGGCAATGATCTTGCCTAAGAGTTGCCTTTGGGAGAGGGGCAGGTTGTCAATTTTGGTTTCCCCTAGTTTCTCATTTTTCCAGTCTTCAGTTCATCAAATTTCTGCATCAGTTGGTGCTTTTTTAAGAAATGATGATGATGATGGTGGTGGTGGTAATAATAATAATAATAATAATAATAATAATAATAATAATAATAATAATATCCTCCTGAAAATTTGCCAGTGATTTAGTGCACATTTCTCAATATTATATGGAATTTCCCCCCAAATACACATTTTTGCAAGCAATTTCCCCTAACCTAACACATGCTGTATGCTATTTTCATTAACAGATGCATTTTAAAGCACACTTCCCCCTTGTAGATGCACATTTCGTACATATTATTTTGTTGGAGAATTGCACTGCAAATTCAGAGAAGTGTAGATTTCAAAGGAGAGGTGTGTTTTGGTATTGGTTTGAGATGTGCAGATTTTGGTAGGTTTGCAAGCAAATTTCTCCCCTATCCCTAAAAGCCCTCCTGCCCCCCACCGGCAGCTCATGTAAAGCTTTTTGCAACTTTGTTGCTAGCAGGAAAAATCCACCTCATGAGACTCTTAATCTCAGGGTCTGGGGTCGTGCCCCACCTTGGGCAAAAAGATTCCTGCATTGCAGGGGATTGGACTAGATGCCTCTTGGGGTCTCTTCCAACTCTACAATTCTATGATTCTGTGAATGTTTTGAACCGAACAGTGGCATCTAGTGCCTGTTGGACTTGCTAGGGGAGAAAGCAGGGAGCCCACCAGTAGGTGGAGCCAGAGCCAATGAGAGACAGAGCCAACTAATTCTAGTTTTGTCTAGATCCTCCTCCTTCTCTCTGCTGTGTTCTACAGAGGTGACACTGAGGCTAAGGAGGAGGAAGAAGTTGGCAGGCAGTGCCACCTCCTGGACTGGTTGTAAGGAAGAAGTCAATCAGGTTGACTGAGGGCAGACTGAGTTTAGTGGGGCAGTGCCCCACTTTTGTCTTAGTGCAGCCTTTCTCAACCTGTGGGTCCCCAGATGTTGTTGGACTACAACTCCCATCACCCCTAGCTAGCAAGGCCAGAGCTCAGGGATGATGGGAGTTGTAGTCCAACAACATCTGGGGACCCACAGGTTGAGAACCTCTGGTCTTCGTGAATCACCCTGCAGGGGAACCAAATGTATAAATGCAGAATTATCAAGCTTTGGTTCGTTGATAGCAATCGTACACCAGTAGAAAAAATGCTGGCTTTGCCCTCATACATCTATTTGGGTTTCAGCTCACTCTCCTTCCTGCCCACGAGTCACCTCTGCAGCCAATTCTCTTTTTATGAGAAGAACAGGCCGTGCTATTTGGATGAAATGTGTGAGCCCAGGATCCAGCCTCAGTCCTCCCTGGGGGAGAAATGACAAGCCAGTTTTTAATGTGGCATGAGCTGGTCTTGGCTTTGCAGAGAAACAATTACTTTAAAAGAGACAAGCAAATCACACTAATGAGATTTTAAAAAAAAGAAATATTAAAGCACTCTTTCAAATCCTTGTTTTTCATTCTTATTGTACTTCTGGATTCCAGCCACTAAGACTATTTTTCTCCACCCCCAGCAACAGTAAGTGCTAGAATCCATATTGAGATGAACCAATATGCTAAGTGTGCTGCAGAGGAGCGTTGCAAAAAGCTCCTCCCTCTGATCTCTGCAGATCAAGCTGTTGTTACGGCTATAAAAGTTGAGTGGCTGGTCCCATTTGGCAACCCGAAACCCCAGTGTCTTTAGTGCCCTCATCTGTCAGCATTTCCCCAGGAATATGTGCAAGGATGCCAATGTAGTGCAGTGGTTAGAGTATCGGACTAGGACCTGGGAGACCAGGGTTTGAATCCCCACTCAGCCAGAAAACTCACTGGGTGATCCTGGGCCACAAAATGGTGGAGATTGTGTATAGCATTTTGAGTTCTTTGGAGGAAAAGTGGAAGCAAAATGTCATAATTAAGAGTAGGGGGGCAGAGCTGTGCGTGTTGCCCCTTTCCCAAACATCCTCATAGGTCCCAGTCCTACACACTCCACACAAATGCATTCAGACAAATAAACTTGGATTCAAACTGAGCATGCAGAGTTTCTGACCCTGGGAAGGTTAAGGAGTGTTCACATGCTAGCTTCAATGAGTGTAGCATGTGTATGTACACCTGTGCACAGAAATAGCCGCGCTGTGTACATACATATAGTTATTCATATGTAATGCTCAATGAGTGTACAGTCAAGTGTACCCAAGTGTACCATAGTTGAGCTGTATAAACACACACTCTTTTACAAAAACACTTGCACGTGTGTAGAGACAGCTTGGATCCACCATAGGACACTGGAAAATATTTGCATGCCTGAGCAGCACTTGCCCCACTAAGCAAACCTAGCAGCCTGCTTTTGCCATGTATTAATGAATTATATATACAGAGTGCTTTGGTTTGAAACCAAACCCCTCCTACCAGCAGCTTGCATTTTAAAATACAAAGTCTTTTATATATATAGGAAGCTGCCTTATGCCAAGGGAGACCATTGGTTCATTTAGCTCTGCATCATCTGCACTGACTGACAGAGGCTCTCCGAAGTGTCAGACAAGGAGGCTCTCCCAAATGTACCTGGAGATGCCAGGGATTGAACCTGGGACCTTCTGAATGCAAGGCAGGTGCCCTACCGCTGGCCTACAGCCCTTCCTATCACTTGAGCGATGTCTTAGTGAGGTTCTTTCGGATTGTGGCTGTGGTGCTGAAGCCCACTTGGCCTTTTTGTTAAGCTAGGCCTGTCTACCTGTGTGTGTGTGTGTGTGTGTGTGTGTGTGTGTGTGTGCGCGCGCGCATGTGTGTGTGTGTGTGTGCTAGGGGTAGTTTAGGGCTGGGGTGGTGAAACATTGAGAATGAGAAGGTGTGTGTGTGTGTGTGTGTGTGTGAGAGAGAGAGAGAGAGAGAGAGAGAGGTAAAGGTAAAGGGACCCCTAACCATTAGGTCCAGTCATGACCGACTCTGGGGGTTGTGGCGCTCATCTCACTTTATTGGTTGAGGGAGCTGGCGATACTATGCATGACTAAGCTGCTTCTGGTGAACCAGAGCAGTACACGGAAACGCCGTTTACCTTCCCGCCGGAGTGGTACCTATTTATCTACTTGCACTTTGACGTGCTTTTGAACTGCTAGGTTGGCAGGAGCTGGGACCGAGCAATGGGAGCTCATCCCGTCGTGGGGATTCGAACCGCCGACCTTCTGATCAGCAAGCTTCTGATCGAGAGCCAGTGTGGTGTAGTGGTTAAGAGCGGTAGTCTCGTAATCTGGTGAACCGGGTTCGCGTTATTAAGGCACAATCCAAGGTCCTGATCCACCATGCTGTGTGTGTGCTGGGAGGTTGGATGAGTCAGAGGATGGTCAGTCTAGAACAGCACCACTGGGCTGTTCCAAAAGCTATTGGAGTTCAATTCCCATCAACCTCAGCCAGCCCGGCCAAAAGTCAGGGATGGGAGTTGGAATCCAACAGCATCTGGGGGGCAGTGGGTGCTCTGCCTCCACAGCTGGAAGCAGTAATGGAGCCAGTGTGGCGTAGTGGTTAAGAGCGGTAGTCTCGTAATCTGGGGAACCGGGTTCACATCTCCACTCCTCCACATGCAGCTGCTGGGTGACCTTGGCCTAGTCACACTTCTATGAAGTCTCTCATCCCCACTCACCTCACAGAGTGTTTGTTGTGGGGGAGGAAGGGAAAGGAGAATGTTAGCCGCTTTGAGACTCCTTAAAGGGAGTGAAAGGCGGGATATCAAATCCAAACTCTTCTTCAAGTCCTAGGCTCTGTGGTTTAACCCACAGCACCACCCACATCCCTGAGAGAGAGATACTCACTCTGTAAAACAGGAGCTCCTGCTTTGCTGTTTGAAAGCAGGGATTGTCTGCAGAATCTTGTTAGGTCTGTCAGCAACAGATGGCCTCAGTTCCCAACTGGTGGAAGGGATATTTCTGCCAAAGAAAAGTTGCCGAAGTGGTTGCACAGAACAGTAGCGAAAAGGGACAAAGGCTTCATGGCATCTCAAGTCTCATGCCTAGAAAAGTTTGTTGACATTCTAGCCACATTAATTTAAAGCTCTATGATACCACTTCAAATAGCCATGGTTACCCACAAAGAATTCTGGGGGCTCTAGTTAGCTAAGGGTGCTGAGAATTATCAAGAGGACCCCCTAGAGCTACAATTCTCAAAGCAGTCTAACAGCCAATCCCCCTTCACAAGAAACTTAATCTGGGGGTTTGTGGGGAAGGATCTTCCACTAAGGAAGTGTGCTGGTCCCAAGGGTTATCTGTGAGGCAAGGTGCGAGTCCAGTCCAAGGTTGAGGGTGCAGTAGGGAGACAGTCCGTCAAAGCTGAAGCTGGGTCCAAGGCAGGGAGTCGGGTGAGGTCAGGAGCTATGGCAGAGAGGCAAGGCAGGGTGCAGGCAGGAACTGGCTACCAACAACGTTGCTCCCGCAACTTGGGACTGGGGCTGGCTGGCTTTTATCTGCCCCGAGGCATAAGGTGGCCCCGGTCCACAGGTGACTCGCCTCTTCTGGCCTGGAGGTGAGCACTCCTCCTGCGGGAACTTAGTTCCCTCCGCCTCTCTGCCCTGAGCCTCTGTAGCTCAGGCTCTCCTGGTTGGAGGGTTACCGGACCCAGAGGAAACCTCAGCTTCCCCTGACGGGGCTGAGAGTGGAGAACCTGCAGGCAATGGATCCTCTATCACCTCAGGAGCCAGAGCAGACTCAGCTGGTGCCTGCACCTGAGGATCCAGCACAGGCGGGGACCCTTCAGGCTCAAGCCCCAGCCCCGGCTCAGCTGGTTCTGTGCAGGCTGGGATTCCTCAGGTTCAGCCTCCGAGTCCAAATCCCAGGCCATCACAGGAAGCCTTTCTGAACCTGGTGTGTTTCCGAGGTTCTGAACTACAACTCCCATCATCAGCCAGCCAGCCCAAGAAGCTAGCAAGGAACTCGCTCTCCAGGGTTTCTCATGGAAGTCCTACCTGGAAATGCTGGGGACTGAACTTCATGCAAATGACATCCACTCTGTACAATATTATGGCCACATATGTTATACCTCCTGCTGAATGACTCCTGCAGCCCAGGTTGTAGCCCAAAATATCTGAAGGGCAAGCTGTCATTTCCAAAATGCCCTTCAAAAGCAGCCTGGCAGACAGCACACTGAAGCCGTCTAAGCTGCTATGAGCTGAGCATTATCCCTCCTCACCTCCAGACACTCCCCACGCAGCTGTGTTTCCCACCTTGAAACTGAAAAGCACCAACTGTTTCATCTAGCTATTGCCAGGAGTAGTTATTTGCATAGATTCCACCCCCCCCCAGTTTTTACTAATTATGTTTATTGTAAATGTTTTCTGCATTCCCGTTGTTTCTGTAAGTTGCTTTGAGTCATTTATGTGAGTAAAGTGACTAGTTAATAGCAACAGCAGCAGCAACAACAACAAGAAATTGGAGTGCCTGTATGTCAAAATTCATTCTTTTGGCAGTTTTTATGTTATTAAAAGCAGCTGAAAACAATTTGCAGTCACAGGAATAAGATAGGTCCTAAAAATATACATCTTAAGTGTCAAAAACCAGGGGTAAAGAGCTGCCAACTGCCTCTAGACATGTACAAGTGTTTGTGTGAAAGAGTGTTCACTATGTGATTTGTACAGCTATTGTGTACAGAGACTATACACCCATTAAACATTATACATGAATAATTGCACAAGTATAAACTATTTGTGTACACAGGTGCAGAGACTGTGCAGTCATTGAATGTAATGTGGGAACATGTTCCATGAACAGATTTCTAACACCATGGTTGTGGCTTAATGTTTCTTTTTTAAATTAGAAAGCACTTATGAAAGTGGATGGATTAAGAAAGACCCCTCCTTTTGTCCTTTCTTTTTATAAAGCAGAGTGTAGTATTATTTGTACATGAGAGAAATTCAGTAGAGCTTGCAACACCCTTTCTCCTATCTTGATAAACCTGCCCATTTAGACCGCATGTTCAAGAGCAAGAATGGTGCGTATGAAGCAGGGAACGGAGTGGAGTCAATGTGGTGCCCTCCATATGTTGTTGGATTCCATCTCCCCATCAGCCCCAGCCAGCATGGCAAATGATCAGGGATGATGGGGATTGTAGTCCAACAGAATCTGTGCACCTTGTTGGCTCTAGGTGTTGTTGAACTCTAACTTTCATCAGCCCTAGCCAGCATGGTCAACAGTTAGTGATGACGGGAGCTGGAGTTCAGCAGTCATGATCCACAAGGATGTCAAGAAGTGAGAAAGCCTGCTGGTTCATAAAGTTCCTGGTCAGAAGTTCCTGGTTTCCCAGTTGGGCAGAAGGGTGAGGTAGGACAAGTCAAAAGGTGGTACCTTGGAGAGCAACTTAGATGTGAATTCAGGACCATGGACAGTGCTTTTGCAGCTGAATTCAAAAGGACATGCAATCTCAGCAAGATTCTGGAGTAACAGGATGAGTTTTATAGCACTGCAAGGTAGTCATTAACTGGAGGCCCTCAACCTCAAGTTAAAGGGCTGGTGCTTTCTTCTGCCACTGATGGTTCAGTGGGATTCCCAGCTGTGCAATTCTCTCCCCAGGGCTTTCTTGATCTCCTGAGGAGTCTGTGGACCAGCATCTCCCTGGAGTTTAGGTGGGGAGATGCAGGCTCCAATGTCTATGGCTCCCCATGAGACAGACCAGGGAGTATATCTATCTCTTCACTGAGGCTGTTGTTATTGCAGGACTTTGCCTTTGAGGATTCAGGGGAATCAGGGCTTAATAGGTGGGCTTTGGTACCCACCAACCCACACCAGACAACACATTCAAGGGTCATGCTATGCTTGAATATACTTTCAAGTAAATTTAGGATGGGGGGATGGTTCTTTAAAGTGGGAGTAGGGAATCTTCTTCAGCCCAAGGGACACCTTTCCTCAAGGGACACCTTCCAGGGATGACATGGCCTGAAACAAAAGCAGGTGGACTCTGTGCCAAAAGTGAGTGGGGCAGCAGATAAGAATGTTGTCAGAGGTTTATACATGCATATGTCCCTCCATCTTCTATCAAGGCAAGCGAGAGGCATTCTCACAGTTCAATGTTGTATTCAAGCCAGGGAAGAGCAATTGAGGAGGGTATGTGGCAGGGCCCATGAGAGAGGGCAGGACTGGGGTGCAGGCATGGCCTATGGAGAGTCCTGAATGCCAGATAGAGTCTCTGATGGGGAGCTAAATCTAGGCCCCAGTACCCAGCTCCTTTCAAGCTACATCCATCTCTCTCCTATACCCTCCAACATTTCTCCAAAAATGAAAATAGGGATGTCCTATTCTATTATTATTATTATTATTATTATTATTATTATTATTATTATCTTATTTATACGCTGCCCATCTGATTGGGTTGCTCTAGGCAGTCAGATAACAACATATATAAAAAGATAACAAAACATCAAACATTAATAAACCTCTATACAGGGCTGCCTTCAGATGTCTTCTAAAGGCTGTATAGTTACTTATCTCCTTGGCTTGGGGGTCTCATAACTCCACACCCTCCAACATTTCTCTGACGAAAATAGGGACGTCCTAAGAAAAAGCAGGACATTCCAGGATCAAATCAGAAACCGGGATGGCTTCTGTAAATCCAGGACTGTCCTTGGAAAATAGAGACACTGGGAGGGTCTCTTCTCTT